TGGGCTGGGCCCCCCCACCTCTGTCCCGCCTGGGCTGGGCCACCCCTGCCTGCTGTCCCTCCTGGGCTGGGCCCCCCCGCCTGCTGTCCCACCTGGGCTGGGCCCCCCCACCTGCTGTCCCGCCTGGGCTGGGCCCCCCCTGCCTGTTTCCCGCCTGGGCTGGGCCCCCCCTGCCTGCTGTCCTGCCTGGGCTGGGCGCCCCCTGTCTGCTGTCCCCCCTGGGCTGGGCCGCCTCTGCCTGCTGTCCTGCCTGGGCTGGTCTGCCCCGCCCCGCTGACTGCTCACTGTCCCATCTGGGCTGGTCCACCCCTGCCTGCTTACTGTCCCACCTGGGCTGGGCTGCCCCTGCCTGCTCACTGTCCCACCCACCTTCTGATAACTTCTTTGCATAGGCCTTGCTCTGCCTGGTCACTTCCCTCACACCTGTGGGGCTTGGGGACTGTCCCTACATAGAGATAATCTCCTGGGAGGCTGGCAGGAGGGTCCTGCTCCCCTGCAGTGCTGATAGAATCCCCGTTAAAGTGACGAGAATGCCTGTTTCATCAGCCTGCCATGGCTGCACAGAGCCACCGCTGTACCTTGGCCCCTCACTGGTCAGCACTGTGGTCCCCTCTGTGGCCCTCGGACTCTGAGTGCACCCTCACTCTGCCCCGGATCAGACCCTGTAGGGCTGCCCCTGGCACTCTCTTCCCTCCTTGAGGTATCACTCTGCCCTACAAGTGTGGGCTCACACCTCTCAGCCTTGCTCCGCTGGCCTTCCTGCTCACCCTGCCCTCACCGTGCTCCCTGCGGCCGTCCTGCAGTGCAGGCCTGACCCACGGGTGGGGTGGGCCTCTCTGCGATGACGCTGCCGTCTCTGCCCTGCTGTCTGCCTGTGGAGCAGCGAAGCAGCTCCCAAGGGCAGACCCCCCTGGCAGCTGGTGCTTGGCGAGCATCCAGAGCAGCCCCTTCTTGCTGCCCAAGGTGGCCTCTTGGGGCCTTGGTTCTGGACGGCAGTGTTGTGATTTATCTGCTCCTGCCCCTCCTCGTTTTCTCTCGAGCTCGCTCAGCAGCGGCAGCAGCCAGTCTGGGGCTGGGTGGGCACTGCAGAGGGACGTCACAGGCAGGCAGGGCTGGGCTGGGGCTGCAAGGTCCCCCTGTGGGGGCTCTGACGCTGGCTGACACCTCCCTCAGAGCCGGAGCCTGAGCCTGGAGCCCTGGAGAGACCTGGCCGCAGGGAGCCTCTGGTGGTCAAGGAACACGAGGACATCATCCTGACGGCGGTGTTGGCTGTGCCCTCTGTGGCCGCTGCGGCGTGGTTCAGAGACGGCGTGGAGATTCGCCACAGCAAGCGGCATGAGACCGTCAGCCTGGCAGACACCCACACCCTGACGGTGCATGGCGCCCAGACCCCAGACAGTGCCATATACAGCTGCCGCGTGGGCGACCAGCGGCAGGACTTCCCTGTCCAGGTGGAAGGTTAGCCATGTGGAGGGTGGCCTGCCCCCAGCCTGCCCCAGGAGGGCTGGCCCTGAGCCCAGCCCAAACCAAGGAGTGAGCCCCGTGTGGCCCAGTCCATGTCAAGCGCCCCCGGGACCCGGACTCGGGCTCTGGCTCCTCGGGGACCCTGCACCTGTGTGTGTTGGGGGGGGGTGCTCACGTGGCTGCTCTCCTAACCCACGCCCTTACGCCCCTCTTGCCCATACAGAGGTGGGCGCCCGGTTCTCCCGGGCCCTGGAGCCGGTCAGCGGGGAGTTGGGCGGCAAGGTGGTGCTGGCCTGTGAGCTGAGCCCGGAGCAGGCCCAGGTGGTGTGGCGTTGCGGCAGCACCCAGCTGCGGCCTGGGAAGCGCTTCCAGATGGAGGCCGTGGGGCCGCTGCGCACCCTCACCGTCACCGGCCTGCGGGCGGAGGATGCGGGCGAGTACGTGTGCGAGAGCCGTGACGACAGCACCCGCGCCTGTCTCTCGGTCCACGGTGTGTGCAGGCTCCTCCTGGTCCTTCTGGGGAGGCCGCTTGTAGGCGGTGACTCCTGAGTCACCTGCGGGCGGCTCTGCCCATCCGTCCCTCCCTGCCCCGCT